CCATCCTGCCCCCTTCCCCGCCCTCTGGACCTGGACAGGGGTGGTGTTTCTGTTGCAGGCAGCCTAGGGTTGCCCCTTGGCTCAGCCCCCTCCCCCTTTCTAGGCTGGGAGGAAAGGTAGCTAGGTCTCATTACTGGACCAGCAATGGTGTCAGCCCTTCTCTGGGGCGCAGATCCTTATAGAGGAAGCCCTGGCCTGACCCGGGTGTGGCCATTGTTGGAGTGGGGTCTTGAGCCAGCGCTGGAAAGATATGGGTGGTGGGGATGTGGGCCTCAGTGGAGCAGGGTGTGACTTTCTATGGAATGTTCTTTTCTTTCCCATCCCCACCTGCAGGCAGAGGGAAGGCTGCTCCCAAGGGTAAGTGCCAACTGAGGCTGTATTAACAGAGGTGCAGTGCCTAGGGTGGGGAGGGGGAAATGGGGCAAGCAAGGTGGGAAGAGACCAGTTTACACGGACCTCTGGGCCAACTACGGTTGTTCAGCTGCTGAAAAAGGAACCCCAGAGAGTGGCAAGGGTTGGGGAGGATGGATTTGTAGTTCTGCAGGGCACTCAGGGTAGTCCCGGACAATGGAACAGAGGCATGTTGTGATTTCACATGAGGGCCGACTCAAACAGTAACCAGAGATCACCCACATCTGTGGGGTCTCTACAGTGAGATCAGGGGCCTTCGGGGATGGTATGTAGGGATTTAGGCCAGGTTTGGGCATCTCTGAAGGGTTTCACTCTAGGCCTTGTCCTGCTCTGCTCCCTCCCTTCAGTCCCTTAAGGTGTGGTAGGCTTTGGGGGTGTTCTCTTTCCACCCTGCTTACTGCTGGAAGACCTCACAGTGCAGGAAGCTGCAGGATCCTGAGAGGCAGCTTGGAGTCCGAAAGGCCACACCCTGCCTCACAGTGCGGCCCTGAGGCCTCGGCTGTTCCCCATCCTGCCCTCCTGGGAGGGTGAGTCCCCCCCCCAAGGGTTTAGCCTGCTGCATGGCTCCTTCTCACGCTTGCTCACACTCATCTCCCCCAGGCTCTCCTGTGCCAGGTCCCTTCCTTGTTCAAAACCACTTCTGCTTCCTTTTGCCCATAGGCTTATTCCATACCCCTTGTGCTAGCATTCAAGGCTCTCTGATCCCATGCCTTCCGGCCGCCCTCACCTCCCTCCCTGCTCCGTGACCGACCAACATTCCTCCTTCACTCCCACCATCACTCTTTAACTCGTGCTGCCACCACTGCCCCTTTGACCCTCTGCCTAACTCCTAGCCCTCCCATGCCCACCTCAAGTCCTGTGTTCCCCAGGCAGCCTGCCAGGCCCCAGAGAGCTCTTCTTCTCTGAGCTCCTCTGGCTTCTGGAACATCTCAAAGGGCCTGTGCTGGTCCCCCCTCCTGTGACTGGTGGGTTTTTTTTGTTGTTGTTGTTTTATTTTAATGTTGTATGGCTATGACCCCCTCCTAGCCAAGAAGGGCATAGGCCCCAAACTCCTAGACCTGCACCCCAGGGCCTGGTCAGCCAATGCGGTGGGCAACGTGTAGACAAGTGATTCACACACGAGCACCTGCGGAGGGATGGGCAAGCCTGTTCTGAGATGTGGGTGGAGCCAGGAC